TTTTTTTTTTTTTTTTCTTTTTTCTTTTTTTTTTTTTTTTTTTTCGAGACAGGGATCTCTGTGAAGCTTTGGCTGTCCTGGAAGTCAGTCTGTAGATCAGGCTGACCTCGAACTCATAGAGTTCCGCCTACCTCTGCCTCCTGAGTGCTGGGATTACAGGCATGCGCCACCACTACCCAGCAATGTATTTTTTTTTTTAATTAAATGATCTTCCTTACCATAGACCATGTATTAGATGGGACCACTCTAATTGGTTTGAACCTAGCCAAGAAAATGGGTCCTTCTATTTTTTGGTTTGGAGCTTCTAAAATTGAGGAAGAACAACAAAAGATGGGCACCACAAAGAAATTATACATATACACAAAGTTAAGAACTGAAGAGATGGCTCAGGGGTTAAGAACACTGACTGCTATTCCAGAGGGCTGGGTTTGATTCCCAGAATCCACAGGGCAGCCCATAACCATCTGTAACTCTAGCTCATGGGACCTGATGCCCTGTTCTGGTTCCCTGGGCACCAGACATGCATATGGTGCACATACATGTAGGCAAAACACCTACACGTAAAAAATAACTTATAATCATACATGAATGTATTTTATTAAGAAAAAATTTTCACTAGCGATGGTGATACATGCTTTTAGCCAAGCACTTGGGAGCAGAGACTCTGGGGACTGAATCTAAGGCCTCCCTCGTGCTAAGCATGCAGTCTACAAACAAATTATAAGCCCAGGTATACATATTTTACTTTTCTTTTAAAATTTATTTTTGAAGACAGGGTCTTACAGAGCCCAGTTTAGACTGATTTGAAACCCCTGCTCCCATCTCCACCTCCTAACTGCTGAGATTAATGTCAACATGCTCACATATTGATATATACTGAATAAGTAGATAAATTATACTAAAGTTGCCGAGGAGCTAAGGCAAGTTGTATTCATTTAAAATGTGTAGGTAGGGGGCCTGTATATGATGTGTCTCTGAAATCTCATTTTTCAGTAAAAACTAAGAAAACCATACCTGACAGGAGGGCTTCTATTAATACTTATAGGAGCTTGTGGAATTAACTTTTTCCACTTGGAGCTTGAAAACTCAATGGATTTCAACACAGACATGCCTTCTTCTAAAGACGACTTCATCCAGGAAGCTCTTTCATATCGCTGTGGGGACACACAGCCAGCGTCCTTATGGGCTAGGTAAGGAAGAAGAAAAAGGTTTTAAAGAACAACAGAATGCAGGGTGGCTGCACACACCCATTATAAGAGCACTTAGAGGCAAGGGAGGGAGACTACAGTAATTCAAAGATGGCTACACATGAGACATTGTCAACAGCCCTTCACCCCAACTTCCCCTTCCCAAGGCAGGATGTAGAACAGCTATACTGTAAGAGATCCTGCCTCAGAACAACTACACAAACCAACAAAAACCCCCAAAAAGCAGTGCAATACCTTACAGGATTTGGTAAAGTTACCTCGGAACGTGAGGCGCATGTCAGCATTATCCGGACGCAGTGACAACCGGAACTCTACCCTGCTGGTAAACATGCGATATGGTTCGCTGGTGCCCAGTGTGGTGAGGTCATCAATTAAGACTCCTATGTAGCCTTCTGTACGACTTACAATAAAGGGCGGTTTTCGACTGACCCGAAGACTGGCGTTGATTCCAGCTATCACACCCTATAAGAGGACTGAAATGTTTAAGAGGCCATTATGAACTGAACAAATAGCTATTCTATTTAGCATACAACCTGGCAACACACACACACACACACACACACACACACACACACACACACACACACACGGAAGGAAGAGCCAGTGAGCAGGAGTGCACACCTTTAATCCTAGAACTCTGGAAGCAGAGGCAGGTGGATCTGAGTTAGAGGCCAGCCTGGTCTACAAATTGAGTTTCAGGACAGCCAGGGCTACACAGAGAAACCCTGTCTCAAAAAATCAAAACAAACATACAGAGTAGGAAGAAAGCAGGCTCATCAGGAACATAAATGTGATCCACATTCAGAAACAGAACACGCGTTAGAATGTAGGATTCATTCTGCAGAGGATTGGGAGTTTGGGGGTGGATAATCTTTATAAACCTACTTGTGAGACTTCTCTAGCTTCTTTATATGTACAAACACACAAAAGATACAATTTACCCTAATATGTATATATTCCATACTTTCTTCATCCATTCTTCCATTGAAGGGCATCTAGGTTGTTTCCAGGTTCTGGCTATTACAAACAATGCTGCTATGAACATAGTAGAGCATATACTTTTGTTGTATGGTAAGGCCTCTCTTGGGTATATTCCCAAGAGTGGTATTGCTGGGTCCAGGGGTAGGTTGATCCCGAATTTCCTGAGAAATCGCCACACTGCTTTCCAAAGTGGTTGCACAAGTTTGCATTCCCACCAACAATGGATGAGTGTACCCCTTTCTCCACAACCTCTCCAGCAAAGACTATCATTGGTGTTTTTTATTTTAGCCATTCTGACAGGTGTAAGATGGTATCTTAAAGTTGTCTTGATTTGCATTTCCCTGATCGCTAAGGAAGTTGAGCATGACCTTAACAAAAGTATATGCTCAACTATGTTCATAGCAGCATTGTTTGTAATAGCCAGAACCTGGAAACAACCTAGATGCCCTTCAATTGAAGAATGGATGAAGAAAGTATGGAATATATACATATTA